TACTTATTTTAATGCATATTTTATGCCCCATAAATATTTTTCTTTATATTCATATACCTTTACTATTAAGAGTGACTCTTCACCTATGAATTATAGACTTTACACTACTATACTATATGTGTATGGAGATTCTCAGTCATCCAGGTCATGGTTGTCCCAAAGGTGCTTTTTTCAAAAGGCAACTGAACTTTCTTTCCAGTTGCCTTTTGAAAAAGTATCTTTGGGACTACCATGATATATTACACTATATACATACACATATTTCATCATTTATATCCCAGTTTGTTTAAGGGATATTGTTTTATTATCTTCTTGATAAACGTGATGGGTTCTGTTCATTCTCTTTCACTGTGGGAACATACATTTATTACATCTGAAGCACACTTTGTGATCTTTTAATCCTTTAAAAACAAGATTACAATATAATAAACATCTGTTTTAAAAATTTCTCCCATATCTTTTAGAGTTTATTATAATCTTTTGATTGTTTTAAGATGCTTTGCTCCACTAGATTAAAATTCCAGTTCAAAATTCAGTACAACTTCATAGTATACTAAAATTAAATTCTATCTTGATTCGAATAGAACTTTGTCAATCATCTGAAAGCTTGAAAGTTTTAAAATTCTTACTGCAGCTCCAATTCTGAAGGTCGCAATAACTTAAATAAATAGGGTCAGTATTTTATGTTTACACATCATATGTTTACAGAGTTAGACGAATAGTTGCATATATCCAAAGGACCTTGAAAAAATTGAAATTATAAATATATTTACTAAAAATAAAAAAACAGATGAAGATCCTTTTTATCATCTCAGCAATGATTGCTATTTTCTGATTTAATTGTTAGATATTTCTTTGATTATATAGCTGAATTACATATACGTGTGCGTTTGCTACCATAGTCTTTGACTAATTCAAACGCTATATTGTGAAGTTATAGGTACTTAACATTATAATATAAATATTTGTAACAATAATATTTGAAACAATGTCCATTTGTTTTTATCTACCAGAGAATTCTTGATGGTTATCAGGATAGCTCTGAGCTCTTGGCATCCGGGACTTAGGGTAGTTCTCTCTAGAAACACAAAACATTGCAATATTAAATTCTTAATAACTAAGAGCCTCCTGAATATAAGACATTGTGACTTGCAAAGAATAGCAGAAAGATAAATTATAAATAATTCTCACCCATCTAAAGGGCTATCAAGTGAAGGGCAACTCCCCGAGCCAGAATTTTCAGGGCTACTCAGTGATAATGGATCCAACATCTGAAAGAAAAGCACAAAAATGTACTGCAAAATTTCAGTTAGTTCATGCCATAGCAATAAATGGAATCAGAGGTCCAATGTTAATCCAAAATTTAAGGAGAAAAGGGGCCACAAAAAAATCCTCAAGCTACTAGATATGCATGTAGAAGAGAATGCTTACTAAGTCTTTTTCTGGAATGAACTCGCCCTCACTGTTGATACTAGTGAAAGATCCATTCCGTGCCACATGATCATCTGGAATGTATCCTGGAGGTGGAGAACTGCTGTCACGAGTATAGCCTATTGGGGGGGGGAAAGGAAAAAGATTATAAACAAATTTACCATTAAGAATCATTTATTAGTTTAATTTTTAAATCAAATAATATTCTTTTCCTTCTGATCCTTCAGGTATTTTCTATTATTTTAAATTATGCATGCTGATACGCAAATAACTTTAGTTTAATGTAGATAAATTTTGAATATAAAGAAATACATTATGTACTTCGGTAATTTTCTTTGTGGTATATAAAGTCTCAGAGGGAGACATATTTTATACATCGATACAAACAGGGAGGAATGTACACTTTCAAAAAAATGCTTTTGTTTTTTTCCTCCTTTGTTCACACAGTATTTCAGAATGATATTCTGTACTTCTATTTAATATTGATGTTTTCCAACATAGAAGGGTTTTTGATGTTTTGCTTTTAAGTAGTCAAAACATACTGTTTTTCCAGATAAACCTACAACTATAGAAAATACCTCTTCCCTTACTTCAGACAATCTTTTGATGCTGAATATATGTAATTCCCTGACAGAATACAAAATTGTGGGATACTGGTCTACGAAGTGACATAAATTGCACAGAAAATATAAAATATTAGTCACTATTTCCACATTTTTTTCATCCTGACCCTATTTGGAATTTTTTTTATTGATGTTCACATCTGTTGAAATAGATAATACCTGAAGGATCAGAAAAAAATAATATTATTTGATTTAAAAATTAAAGTAATAAATGATTCTTGATGATAAGTTTGTTTATAACCTACTAAAGTGATTAATCTGCCTGCTTTAATTTTGGTAGCTTTCAGATGTGTAAGTATGAAAATTATAGGCAGGACATGAAAGAAATAAAAAACTGAATTTAAAAAAGCTATAGGCATTGAGACTGTGTCACATCAAAATTTCTGTTGTAAAGTAAGACATTTATTAAGTGAATTTTACTTCATTTACTCCATCTTACTCCACTGTCTTGCCGCATTTGTTAAGCGAATCACTACAATTATTAAGTTAATAACATAATTCAGAGGTGGTATTCAGCAGTTTCTGACCAGTTCTGGAGAACCGGTAGCAGAAATTTTGAGTAGTTTGGAGAACCAACAAATACCACCTCTGACTAGAGATTTTACAGTATCCTTCCTCTGCCACGCCCACAGAACTGGTAATTAAAAAAAATGAATCCCACCACTGACATAGTTGTCAAGTGAATCTGGTTTTCCCATTGACTTTGCTTGTCAGAAGGTCACAAAAGGTCATGTCCCCAAGATAGTCAATTGCCAAGTGTCTGAATTTGACTATGGGGTGCTGTAACAGTCATAAAGTGTGAAAAATGGTTGTAAGTAACTTTTTTCAGTGCCATTGTAACTTTGAATGGTCACTAAATGAACTGTTGTAAGTCAAGGACTATCTATATTCCCATAGTCAAAAATTTTGGATGTTGTACTTTGTTCTTGTTAAAATTATAGTATTACATGAATTTAGTTTTAACTTGTTTAATGTTCCTATGACTTTTCAATTATTCAAGATTCATACTGTACATTAATCACTGGTCTTTGTGTGCAACAATATTTGTATTGCTTGCCTTTTGCAAATTACTGTGGCAGCACCAAAAGAAGGGTACATGTTTCATAAATAAATAAATAAACCACCAGTTTAAAATAAAAAATATGAAGTGTTATTACCTATTACAGAATTCCTGTTTTTCTTTTCTGTTACTCTGAAAACTGTATTATCCAAATCTTCTAATGATGACAAGGGATCCATGTTATTCTAGAAGGAAAAATATGTTTATTTATGCTCTTAAAAAATCTCTACCCTTGTAAAAAAAGGAAGCAACATTTTGTTATAAATGTAGTTGACATCTAATGTTTATTTCCACTTCTACATGTGATAATGGGTAGAGCTAATTATTCTCCCTTCCAAAGTCCTCAAATTTGGGTCTGAGGGATTGAGGACTTCTGAGACAAATTTTATGAAGATGGAATTGCAGGTGACAGAGCTATTTAAAACCGCATGGCACAAAATTCCAGTTTGATGACACAGGACTTTTCCATAAATTTTTGCCCGTTTCAAATAAGATACTATAATATGCTATTATTTCCTAAGTGCACAGATTCTAAATATTAAGATTATAATGACAACAAGAATGAAAGGTTAAATGTATTAAGTGAGATGATTTAGAAACAGGAAAACAAAGTTTATGGCACACTTGGGAATATTTCTGCACACATCTCACTAAGAAGGATAGCAATTGACAATAAAGATATAGTTGATATATAATTTTTTCATCATCTTTTAAATTGTTTTGGCTTTGGCTATAATCTCTCTCTCCTGTTCTAATGACGCAACTATAAAAAAAATAACATTTGTAACTTTTAAGGTAAAAGCATATTATATAATGAGTTTTGTGATTGCAATTTATATTTCATGAATACTCTATGAACATGCAGAACATAGTTTATTACATGCAATATGTTGTGTATCATTATCAAATTTTATTATACTACATATACCTACACAAACACTTGGATTTTGTGAGTTGCAAACACAGATAATATGCACATGAGAATAACCAAACTTAAGGGGTTTCAAGACAAGGAATGACAATTTATGCAGACATTATCCAAAGAATAATTACATTTTTATAGATTTGATCAAAAATAATTCTGTTAATGAAAACAAGAGCTCTGTGGCTTTCTGGAACTAGAACCCAAATACTCCTCCATAAAGAAAGGGGATGGCAATTTTCCAGAGGGATCAGGTTGTTAGGGGTCACAAGCAAACAATAGAGGGAAAGTGTTATAGCAATATACAAATGTACACAAAGCCTTAACACACCTGTGTGTTTCCATGAGCAACAAGCAGTATCTTGAGGCTCTTTATGTGAACACTGCGATCAAGGAGCTCCACAGCTTTGTCCAGATCATCCTGGATAGCTAATGGAATTACCAGCTATACAAAGGAAAAAGTCACAAGATTAACGTGCAAGTTAAATACAAGTAATGTATGTACAGATTAGGTTTTGTGGCCTGAAAATTAATTGTAGCAACCAGGGGTGGGATCTGACAGGGTTAATTACCAGTTTGGTGATTTACGAGGCTGCCCGCCTGTAAATCTTCATCAGCACGCTGCATGCAGAGAAGCAGCCTTGGAAAAAGCCCTTTTTTCCTGCTTTTTTAATTGCAGCTATGCCTCGCATAGCAGTTGAAGTTGAAAAAGCAGGAAATAAAGGTCAAGTAAGAGCCCAAGTGGGCGGGTGGGCAAAAACATCAGCAGACATAGAACCGGTTCTATGTCTGCTGCTCTTCAGAGCTACCGGTTCTACAGAGGTGGACAGAACCAGTAGAAACCCACCCCTGGTAGCAACACCAACTATCTTCAATAATTAGTATTTAGCGGAACTAAGGGATATGATGCTAGAAAAAAGGGTAAAAATGAGCCATAAAAACAATATTTAATTATGACAATTTGGCTAAGTAGGATCTGTTATCAGTAGAAATATGTAACCATAGTAAAAATTAACCAGATTTTCCCATATCCCAAATGCTACTTGTTAAAGATGCATATGTTCTTTATGGCTATAGTTTTTGAAATTAAGTGAGGTATAATAAATTAAGACCTCTTAATACATGGAGGGAACTAGGTAAAAGAAAAATAAATCCACATCTGATCTGCAGCATTGCACTGATGAAAAGTGCTATTGTTGTCATGTCAACTATTATTTTCTCCATAAAGGAGCAAGAAAAAGGACTTTGAACAATCTGATCAAATATTCTAAGTTTTTATAACAGCGATGCAAATTCTGGGAGGTTTTTTTTAAACACTACAATACTAAAATAAAATGCTAAAATAAAATAAAAAATACCAAAAACAATACTAAAATACTAAATATTAAGAGAACCAGTTTGGTCTAGTTGTTAAGGCACCAGGCTACAAACCATGAATTCAAGTCCTGCCTTGGCTATGAAAGTCAGCTGCAAGACTTTGGGCCTGTAACTCTTTCTCGGCCCAATGTTTGTTGTTGGGGGTGGGGGGCAGGCAAAGGAAAGTGTGTTCGATATGTTCACCTCCTTGAGTTATTTATAAAAATAAAAGCAGGATACAAAACAAACAAATAAATAAATAATGGTTCCTTAACTATATTTAACTATTAAACAATATTTAATAATTATTTTAGTATCATTATTATCTATTTTTTCAACTCTGCAAAAAAGAGAACTTTTTTGTTTTACCCGATTATCTGAGTTCCTGAAAAATAACAAACTTCAATGTAAACATATATGTTAACATTTTATAGTTTGAAATTTAATTAACTATTTCACAAACTAAAGATGGATAATTTATTTATTTACATACTGCCTTTATCATTTTTATAAAGAACTCAAGGCGGCAAACCTATCATATTTTTAAAAAAATCTGTCTCTGCCTTAAGCTCAGTACTGATTCCTGCCAACTACTTGGACTAGTTCTTTGCAGTTTTCTTGGCAAGGTTTTTTTTGAAGTGGTTTGCCATTGCCTCTTTCCTAAGGCTAAGAAGGAATAACTGGACCAAGGTCATTCAGCTGGTTTTGTGCCAAAGGTATGTCTAGGGGTCCTGATTTCTAGTCTTAACTATAGTACTTTGCCAAACTTGAATTAGTTGAATTAATGAAAAATACAGATTTAGAGAAGGGTAAGCATCATCAAGTAACTAGAATGGCAAATAGTATGAAGAACAGAAAACCTGTAATTATGAATAGTTTCTGCCAACCCTTACAGAAATTACTTTAAAAGGTATGGCATTTCTAGCATTCTGCCTAGATACAGTCAGAAAGGTAAGATGAACTGCTTGTTACTATTGTTCAATCTTCCTCTTAATTGTTTATTTAGTAATGATATACTGTTACTGAAAGATATCTCAATTTTTAATGTCTTATTATAGACAAGGTTGTTGCTTCTGCGTTATACAGTGATCATATTCTGCAAACTCTAACCAATTCATAAATTTTATATTTAATAACATACATTTTATTTCCCAATCATACCTTCCAAAGAAGTTGTATTACACTTCTTTAAAAATAGATATAATACTAAGTATGTGTGTTTTGTTTTCCTGTTTTCCAAAACACACTGAAAAAACTTATTACATCAACACATGATTTGATTAAAAAAAATATTTTTTTGAAAGCAAAAAGCCACAGTATGAATGGCCCAACATGGAGCATAACCCACTGCAAACCTCTAAATATGTCGTGGAGCTTCAAGTAGTCTTGTCACCAAGTTTTCACTATATCAACATTACAAAGAACAGTCTAAAAATCATCATTTTACCTCATTATTGCTGTAATACAAATTCATGGACTGTCCAAAGGCAACTTTAGCTTTTGATGCAAGATCTTCTAGCTTGATAGGTCTAGAAAACTGTAGGATTCTATAAAGTAGGATACAACTTTATTATAAATAATCTACAGAAATGAAATAAATTACAAATTATAATTATGAAAGTCCAACTTATTTCCAGTGCCATCTTGAAATAAAGAAAAGGCAAACCACTTTTCCCAACAATTAAACTACAGGAGTTGAATTTTATTGTAATGGAGGATCGAGCTCTTGTTCCTTTCTTTGCCTCTACAAAGGACCAAATAAAGGTTTATCCCTTTCCTTTCCTTCCAAAGGGAGAAATTTCAACTTCAATTATTCCAAGTCAATGACTACTGGTAGACATAACATTATCTCAAAATATTGCACAGTGCAATTACCAAATTATACCTTATTTCTTTACACTATAGAAGGAGACTAAAGAGCTAATGGACAGTGAAAAGATTATTTTGCTAGGCTTATACAGATTTCCCAGTATTACAAGTATAATAGGATAAACTGAGTTAAAACTACACTTTTAATTAAACTAATTTGCAACATTTTAACTCAATCAAGCATTCTCGGAATTAATTTCTATGTTAAAAATAATTTATACTATGTGATTTACAATTTCATATGGAATATAATACACCTGTATTTTAACATTTGTTTGCCAGAATAACCTGAATCTTACCACATTTCTGTTGTTATATTTGTAGTTAACATCTTATGTAACCATCCTAGAAAACACTGTCTGTCTAGCTATCTAGCTATCTTGGACTGAAATAAAAACTCAAGTATTGCAATATTATTTCATCTATTCTTTAAGCAGAAATTCAAAATAAAACAAAAATCCTCATACATTTATAGGTGGTCGTTGGGTTATGACACTTGTTCAGTGACTGTTCCAAATTACAAAAGTGCTGAACAAGGGGACTTTACGACAGGTCCTCAGAATTCCAGTCATTGCAGCATCCTCACGGTCACATAATCACGATTTCCAACACTCCCTACCAGCTTTCCTGAAGCAAAGCTAATGGGGAGCCTGAATAATGTCGAAAGTCACACTTGCCGTTTTTTTACCTGCCTGAGTTCTATAGTGCCTGCCTACAATATATCCCTGCCACCCACTGACACTCACCTGCAACACCCTTCCCCATCATTTGCCTGTGCTCCATAGCACCTATTTGCAGCATGTTAATCTGCACTCTAGAGCAGTGGCCCCCAACCTTTTTTGTGCCACGGCCCAGTACCGGCATCACAAAATGATCCGCGGCCCGGTATCGGCATCAGCACGCATGACAAGGCAAGGCGAGCCGAGCGACCGGCCAGCCAGCCGTCCCCCGCTTCTCCCCGCCACCTTCAACTCCTCCTTTGTACCTTTGTCGATGGGCTTCGCTTCAGGACGGCTTCGGGACAGTCGCTCGGCTCGCCTTGCCTTGGGTGCTGAAAGAATCCTCGCACCTTAGTTTCGTTCGAAGCCCCCCCCCCTTCGATGAAACTAAGGCACGAGGATTCCTTCAGGACCCAAACGCCACTTTCCAACCAGAAAAGCTCACCCGGAAGCACTTTCTCGTCAAACAAGATGGCGGCGCCCAGCAAACTGGCAGCCTGGTAGGAAATGTTCCACGGCCTGGTACCGGTCCGCGGCCCGGTGGTTGGGGACCCCTGCTCTAGAGCACCTGCTTATGTCATTTCCTGTCCTCCCTCGCACCTGCCCACCTGCCTGCACTTCAGAGGTTCTGCCCATTCTGCCGGCTAGCCTGCTTGCCTAGGACTCCCAACTCTTCCCACTTAATGACCCACACAGTCTTGGGGTTACTACAATTACTGGGGCTGCTGGAATTGTCATTGCTAAACAGTGTAGTTATGTAACATTGCATCTATGACTTCACTGTTTAAGTGATGGAAGTTCCTGAAGCAACTGCAACCATAACCTGTACAGGACTTTTAAAAAAATGAATTATGGTTATGGTTTTCAAAGACTGATTAGGTAGCAATAGCAATAGCATTTAGACTTATATACCACTTCACGGTGTTTTACAGCCTTCTCTGAGTCAATCTTGAAGTAGTTTTAAATTAAGTTAAGATTCTATAAACTTATGAAACAGTGAAAAATTTTAAAAAGTTATCATATTCAGAAAATAACAAAAATTTTCTAAAATGAATTCATTTACCTTTTTTCTCCTCGATGTTCAAATTTGACTCGTACATCATTCTGTAAGAGAATTATATAAACTTATTTATTGTGTTCAGTGGCATTGATAAAGGTGTTTTTTCCACAAGCTTATAAAAATATGTATCTGGAGGCAAGGATTGTATATGAATTGTATTGTATATGAATTTTCTCCAGTCTTTTGAAGCATTATTAGTTATAATGATTAGAAAGAACAAACAGAAAATAAACTCGCATATACAACACATATGTTTAAAATCTGTTATATAATTTTAAAACCATTTCATTTCAATTTTTAAAATATACATACTACAAATCATATTAAAATTATAGGCAAAAATTCTTCACTGTGCTGGGCAAACACATTATATTATTACCTGCTTTTTGGGTGAAGTTAACTTTCCCTTTCCCATTTCTTGAAGCGGCAAAGCAGGACGACTTGCCTTATGAAGAACTGCCAAATCCTGCATGATTGAATTCAAAGCTTGCTGTTCATCTATTTAAATAAAAATGAAACAAGGAAATGTACTGTCAAACTAAGTTTTTAAAAATCGTAAAAAACTAAACAATTAAGAAGCATAAGTAGAATCTAAGGATAGCTTGCATTGTAACTTTAAGAACGTTCATAATATGGAACTCAACAGATACTAATTCTGGTGGTGTTCCTTCTTTCATTTATATTTTATTTCAGCAACAATTGTATTTTATTCTATTCATATATTTATGTGATTTAAAAGAACTCCAATAGAGTTTTAATATTACTCATCATTTAATATTTAAATTCAGTATTTGATTATTAAATTCCCAGGAATATGTTTGAAACCTTAGTAACCTCAGGAACTCACCCATAATGGCATCCAGCAAAACCGAATTTCAGAATAGTGCACCCATTAGAATTCTTTCATTGTCTAAACAAATAAGAAAAGATAAATGAAAATGAAATGAGGCAGGTATGATAAAAGTGTCTAGCTTCTATAAACTTTAGGCTAAACCAACTTTTTTCCTAGAGGCTTAGCATCATTAATTTTTCAGGACAACTTTCAATCTATGGTACATGCATGGATCAAGGTTGTTGAATTCAACCTTTTCAAATAAGAATACTCTCCCTCCACAGTCCAAAAGATAGAATAAAACAAGCAAAACAAGCCCTGAAGCAAAGGATCCATTGGATCCTGTAGTGCAGCAATTGCCAACATTTTTGGCACTAGGGAGGGGGAGAGCACAACCTAGATCCCGCGCATCCACAGTTTTGCTCATTCACCACTCACCTCCAGCTGTACAGCCCAATTCCTAATAGGCCACAAATCAGTACCGCTCCAGGGCCCGGGTTAGGGACTCCTGCTGTAGTACATACCCTAAATTTCAGATGCTTTATATTTAATGTAATTTTAGTGTTTATATTATGATCTAATAAAGGCCGTAGCCTGGATTTTATTTATTAATTAGATGCTAGTTAGTCCATTCTAAAAATGCATTTTAACCCTATCTTCAATTTTATTTGCTCATTATCTTGCTGCAATTTTAGACATTATATTTAATATGATTTTAATGTTTACAAATCTTGGATCTCATTTATTAGATGCTAGCAGTCATTATGTTAATGTATTTTAACCCTGTCTTGTATCTTGTTTGTGCGTTACTTGTACTTTGGTCATAAGCTAAACTGAACTTCCCTAGTAGTATATATTTACCATTCAGCTAGGGAACAGCCTGACATCCTTTCATATGTGTTTAGTTCTCTAGAATGATTGAAGTAAATGAAGTATGTCTTTCTATAAAGCTTTCCCATACCAAACTATAGTAAATATAGTACAACAGTTAGTCTCCTCACCTTCCTGGACATAGTTTCTTTTTATTCCTACATCAACTTTACATAATGATCACTTAATTTTTCTGATTGGTTTCATTCCTAAATGTGTGTAAATAACACCAGACTGTCTTATAATTTTGCACTGAATTACTAAATAGTATTTTTATAAACAAGCCAAATACAGAAGACAGAAACCATGTGTCTGCTTTGAGGCTCTGCTCAAATAAATGTCATATCCCAGATGGTTGAATTCCTCTTTGAAAAGCAGTATGTCACCTATGAATCCTCCCTAAGTCATCTTAACCAATGCTGCTTTTGATCAATTTTGGTTGGGTTCACCCAACCCAGTAATTCCCAATTATGGAGAGAAAATGGCCACAATAGTTTGTGTGCTCCAGGACCCTTCTTTTAAATCTTGCCATTATCTTATGCAACCTAGGAAGCATATCTTTTATGTTTTTATACCTGATTCCACCCCCACCCAATATGCAATTCCCAACTTTTCTTGCCTTTAGGAAGCCTATTAAGACTTGCCTTTTACCCCAGGTCTACTAAGTCTTGGGTGATCCACCATCACCCAAGACTAGGCACGCACGCCCCCAACTACCTCAATTCCAACTACTGCCGGCCTTAAATGCAAACTACTCAATGCAAGAAGCCTCGTGAATAAAATACCCGAATTTCTCATCCTCCTAAATATGGCTAACTTCGACATTATATTTGTCTGTGAAACATGGCTCAATGCATCTCTCCCCGACTCCATTACCACAGTAAGAGACTATCATGTTTACCGATCAGATCGTGAAAATCGTCGAGGAGGTGGTGTTGCTATATTCTATAAAAAATCCTTACATCTAAAAAATATCCAAGTTACCCAGGAGCTTGCCCTTCCTGAAACCATCATCTGTGAACTATCCTTAAATATCACAATTCGATTCTTACTATGTTACAGAGCACCTGATTATGACATCGAACATGTAAACAAGCTAAATACATTACTAACATGGGCTGCATCCTGCCCATACCCTTTTATCCTTCTTGGTGATTTCAATCTACCTCATATTGACTGGACCCTAAATGATTGTACAACTGAAATCATACACACAACCTTCTACAATGCTATTACAAATCTGGGACTGGAACAACTAGTAACCAACAACACTAGACTAAACAACTGCCTCGATCTCATCTTCTGCAATAGTTTGAATTTAATTTACGGAATACAAACTAAAGAACCCTTTTCCAGCAGTGACCACAATATGATTGACTTTTGTCTCAACATACGTCCACACAAAAATCACCACAATGATGTAATCCCCAATTGTAACTTCAAAAAAGGCAACTATGATCTTATACACAACGATCTCTCATCCCTTGATTGGCATTCTCTATTCACTGGATGCAATACTGTTGAAGACCATTACAACATATTTTTACTTGAAGTCAAAAGAGTCATCAAACTATATGTTCCAACAACAACTCCCAAAACAAAACAAAAAAGCAGATTACCCATATCAATAAGGAAACTTCAATCCAAAAAGAGATCACTCTGGCGGAAAAACAAATCTGGTCACGTTGCCAATTTCAAAAACCGATACAAAAATTTATGCCACCAGATAAAGACCGAATGCACCAATTATCACATTAAACAAGAGGAAAACCTTCTAAGCACCAATTCCCCCCGTGCTTTTTACAATTTTGTAAACAACAAACTAAAAGACTCAAGGTCCATCCCTCCCTTGATAGGACCCGATGGTAAAGACTGCAACGACGACACCATTAAAGCCAACATCTTTAACACATTCTTCGGCTCAGTATTTGTAAACAGCAATGGATCATGCCCAGTATTTCCTAGCCGTACCACAGATAACAACAATGATCTAATACATATCAATTTCACAGAAGACAATGTTGAAAAATCACTGCGTAATCTAAAACCATCTCTATCTATTGGACCGGATGGAATATGTGCCTACTTCTTAAGAAAGCTATCCACTGCCATAGCCAAACCTCTAAGCATAATCTTTGAAAAATCTTTCAGGACCAGCTCCTTGCCTAACCTATGGTCACAAGCCACAGTCATCCCCATCTTCAAAAAGGGAGACCCAAGCCTAGTTGAAAATTACAGGCCAATCTCCTTATGCTGCGTCACCTGTAAAGTCATGGAATCAATTATTAACCAATCCATCATCCTCCACTTAGAGACAAACAACCTACTCTCCAATAAACAATTTGGTTTCAGAAAAAAACTATCCTGTAATCTGCAACTCTTACACTGCAAAAACATATGGACGACACAACTCGACCAGGGCAAAGCAATAGACGCAATCTACATAGACTTCTGTAAAGCCTTTGATTCAGTGGTACACGACAAACTACTCCTAAAAATAAAATCCTATGGTATCTCTGGACAACTGAATAACTGGATAGAAGCATTCCTGTCAAACAGACAACAAATGGTCAAAATCGGGAGCGTCCTATCAAATCCAGTACCTGTCAATAGTGGTGTCCCCCAAGGCAGTGTTCTAGGACCAACTCTCTTCATACTCTACATAAATGACCTCTGTGATCATATTAAGAGCAATTGCGTTCTCTTCGCTGATGATGTAAAGCTGTTCAATACCACAGACAATACTGCTACCCTACAAAAAGATCTTGACTATGTATCCGAATGGTCAAACAAATGGCAACTTCAAATCTCAACAAATAAATGCTCTGTCTTACATATTGGCAAAAAAAATCAGAAAATAAAATACAAGCTGAATAGTCAAGATCTTGTTGATGACCCAAGCTCTGTAAAGGACCTTGGAATACTCACCTCTAATGATCTAAGTGCTAGAGCCCACTGCAACTACATAGCCAAAAAGGCATTAAGAGTTGTTAACCTAATCCTACGTAGCTTTTTCTCTGGTAATATCACACTACTAACCAGAGCATACAAAACATTTGCTAGACCAATACTCGAATACAGTTCATCAGTCTGGAACCCTCATTACGTATCTGATATTAGCACAATTGAGAAAGTCCAGAAATATTTCACAAGGAGAGTTCTCCACTCTTCTACTCGTTGTAGAATACCTTATGCCACCAGACTTGAAATTCTAGAACTAGAAAACCTTGAATTACGCCGTCTTCGGTCTGACTTAAGCATGGTATATAAAATCATACATTGCAATGTCCTACCTGTCAATGAATACTTCGGCTTCAACCATAACAACACAAGAGCACACAATAGATACAAACTCAAAGTAAACCGCACCAAACTTGATTGCAGGAAATACGACTTCAGCAATAGAGTGGTCAATGTCTGGAATACTCTACCTGACTCTGTAGTCTCTTCCCCAAACCCCAAAAACTTTAACCTTAGACTGTCTACTATTGACCTCACCCCCTTCCTAAGAGGTCTGTAGGGGGCGTGCATAAGCGCACCAACGTGCCTACCGTCCCTGTCCTATTGTTTCTCTTATTCTTTTATTTTTCTTATATGTACCCATATCATGTATTCACTACTATGTATACACTTATACTTATTATCTTGTAAACAATTGGCAAATCAAATAAATAAAAATAAATAAAGGAGCCTATAGAATGTGAGTCCCACTATTGTTGTTTTGTTGTGATTCATCACCATTTTACATTCATATATTGTCCATTTATTGTTATATGGGTTTTTTTTCTTATTTTTTTCTTTATTGTTATTCATGCAGTATACTACCCAGAACCATGCTATTTGAGTTAGACAGTCTTATAAACTTTATAAATAAATAAATAAATAAATCCTCTCTTAAGATGACTAAAATTTACCATATGCATTGGCTGACTTTCAGGAAGATAACAGCAGCTGGAGGGAACACTGTTTTATTTATTTATGATTTATTAAATTTGTATGCCACCTATCTCATTGTTTGAGAGAACTCTGGCAGCTTACAATGTTTAAAAAACACAGACATAAAAATAATTATCAATATAAAAATGAATTAAAATTGCAGAGGATTAAGAGCAATTTAAAACAATCATGGGTTTGGAGCGGAACAGCAGTGGCACCTTCGCTGTTACTGCACCAACCACCTCCAGCCTGGAGCTACTCCTTCAAGGTTC